GTGGCGATGCAGAGGTGCTTGTGTAAGAATGGGAATTCATTGTCCACACAATTACAAGCTGTTATAGTCACAGTACAGGAAGGGAGTGGGGCATGAAGGAGCTTGAAAGTTTTCTGGTTTTGACCTCAATTGGGATTACCAATGTGCAATCAGTTAATCAATTATTGGTAATCCATAAATGTCCTGAGTAGTCCTTTCTTGGGCTCCACAGACCAGGTCCCTTGGCCAGGAGTTGACCTGTCCCCATTGAAATGTTAGGTCTGCACCCAGGACAGAGATTCTATTCTCTTGACCAAGGGCCTTTTTCTCTTAACAGGCCTTCATTACTACTTATAACTTTCCTCCTTCCTAGGGCCCCCAGAATCACTTAACATCAGATATCATAGTTCCCAAAACACTTTTGGCATCTTTGGCCTCTGGCAAGGATGAAATTGTTAAGAGTTCCAGTGATACTTCTGGCTTCTAGTCAAGAAAGCAACTGGTTACTTTTCTTTTCTTTTAATCCTGCCTCCAGTTCTTATCTCATCTCCCTATGACAAGGCAACCCTAACTGCTATTATGGCATTGAAACAATGACCGATCTGCCTCCTTCCAGTTGAATTTGGGGTATCACATGGCAGTATTGGAATACTCTTCCAGAGGACCTCTTGTAAAGTCCAAACTGTCAGATACATAACAGGAAAGGAATTACTTTATTGGTGCTTGGAAAGGACTAAAATGTTCAAAGTCCAAAAGATATTCTTGATGGATTCACAATAGGCCCCATCTATTAGATGTTTCTTTTTGACCTCTATGGTTGGTCTCCAGAGTGTTGAACCCACAATCAGCTTTCACACTCATCATTAGCCAAGAGTCAGCATGAAACCTATCCCATGTGGCTCTGGATAGGGAGAGAAGAGGCATTTAGCATCATTTAATTTGGGGCTCAAAACAATCATGGGCCTGTTTTCCTTGGCTGTGGGCAGGTGCTCAGGGAGCCAAGGTCTGACATCTCACATCTGGGCAAAATCCTTTTACCAAGAAGAAAATATCAGTGAGACTGGTTGTTTAAATAACCCCTCATATAGACTTACATCTAATGTCTGTGGAGTGCAATCCCTTGGGGTGTTACCAATTCTCTTAGTCTTTGGTTAAACTTTCCTGCTGAGTGCTGAAGACCATGTAGGTGGCCAAAATTAATATTTCTTACTGTGCTGTCAAGACCAGTGGAGCAACTAGTCCTCAGGGGTCACTTGGGCTTTAGAGGAACCTCAGACTCTTCTAGTTTTTCTTTTACCAGTTGTCCATTAATGTGAGGATGAGTTAAAGGCTTTGCTTTAGGTACTGTGGCTTCCTTTGAAGCCTTGAGAAAATCTTCCCCACAATGAACCTCCTTTTGTAGACTGAACAGTATTTCAGATTTATTGAGTGGGGTCTCCATGATCTCCATGAACAAGACAACAAGTGATCAATGGCTTTAGTCCCTGGGACCTCATTGACATTGTAGGGGTCTCCATGATCTCCATGAACAAGACAACAAGTGATCAATGGCTTTAGTCCCTGGGACCTCATTGACATTGTAGGGTAAGGGAAGAAATATTCTCCCTTTTAGTCCATCTAACCACATTAGAATTGCCTCCAAGAATGATTATGAAACACCCAGAAGATCAATTTTGTTGGGGACCGACTCCGGGCAGCTGTGTCTTGAACTTTGTGTGACCTTCCTTACTTTATCAAACCTTGCAAAAGCAGGAAGTTCCTGGCCTAACTGCAGGATATACGATTAGATAAACTTCCTGGAGTACTGCTAATCAGCCAGCTGCAGGGGCCTGGGACCAAAGTGACCTCACCCTCCCTTAGGAATTTTCTTCCCCTGCTCCCCCTCCCTGCCTGAAGCCCTGCTTATAAGCCTCAATACCCAGTCAATAAACGAGACCTTGACGCGACTCAGACTGACTTTGTCTTCCTTTATGCGCCTGGTCTCCTTTCTCTCTCGCCCCCATTGATCTTTCAGGAGGTGCCTCCTTGGGTCTCATCAAATAACCTGGCCCGCGGGACGGGTCACAATTTTACACCAGTTTGGTATTTTAACTACTGTATATTTCAATAGCCAGACATAACTCAATAAACTTAATGTTTATTGTGATATACATTTTAGCCAGTCTTTGAAAGAGTTGATATCTGACCTTGCCAACTTTAATACAATATATGATCTCTAAATCTCTTCCTTTACGTACCTTAAACAACTTACTCAGACCTTCATAACTTGCCAAAGCTTTCCAGTCTTTTTTAGTCTGGAGCCATCCAGTCATTATCATCTTCATATATCTAAGTCCTTCTTTACTAAGGCAATTTCAATATTTACATTCTTCTATTATGTCCTTCTATGTACTGGTTCCTTTTCCTAATACTGTGAGACATAGGAACATTAACAAATATATTTATGATCTGTTGTGTGAATTTACTCTCCATTTGAGGGGTGCAAAGCAATGTGTATCTCATCCTTATAAGTCACAATGCCGATGCAAAGTGCAATTTTACCAAAGTCCACCATGGAAAACCAATGAGTTTATTGATCTTACTTATTGAACATGGTTGAGGGGATACAGGAGTTTGGATACTGTGGGGGTTTGAACCAAAATGGCCCCCATAGTCCCACAGGGAGTGGCATTATTAAGAGATGTGGCCTCATTGGAGTAGTTGTGTTCTTGTTAGAGAAAGTGTGTCACAGACACTTTCTGCTGCCTGCTGATCTGGATGTAGAACTCTCAGCTCTTTCTCCAGTGCCATATTTGCCTGCATACCGGCATGTTTCCAGCTATGACAATAATGGACTAAACCCTCTGAAACTGTAAGACAGGCCCAGTGAAATGTTTTCCTTTATAAGAGCTGCTATAGTCATGGTGTCTCTTCATAGCAATAGAAACTCTAACAAGACAGATACCTGAAAGCAGCCACACAGGAATGTCTCTACTCAGGCTCTCCCATAGCCGCAGATGTGGAGCTCACCTTCTCTCTACTCTTCCACTGCCCATGTACTCAAGCATTACATTACATTTCTCAGTGTACATAGGTGGTAAACCTGATAGCACTCAAGGTAAATTCTCACCTTTAAGATGGCTTTCTCATAGGTGCAAATGCAGAATCCACCTCCTCCCGAGTCTTTCCCAGGCTATGTGCTCTAGCTCCTCCCACAAACCACAAGGTCACATGTCATTAGTGCTGAATTGCATACAGTTGCCTGGGAAAGAAGCTGTATACTCAGAAGAAAGGAATAACTCCTTCTGAGAAGGAATATCAACAGTCAGCAAACCTGGTGGTGGTCATCCTTTGTAAGCAGGCACAGCTGATCATAGGAAGGTGCCAATTGTTTGTCTTAAGAAAATGCTGAGCGCTGGGCAGTGGTGGTGCACGCCTTTAATCCCAGCACTCAGGAAGCAGAGCCAGGTGGATCTCTGTGAGTTCGAGGCCAACCTGGTCTACAGAGTGAGTTCCAGGACAAGCACCAAAACTACACAGAGAAACCCTGTCTCAAAAAACCAGAAAAAAAAAAAAAAAGAAGAAGAAAAGGAAAATGCTGAGCAACAACAACTAACTAAAAACAGATGAATAGAAACTATGTATAAGATAATGTAATACATTAATGTTTCCTAGGTACAATCTGTTAAACTAAACCTTAGAGAAAACACAAGACAGTCTTTATATAATACATGGCATCACTATAACCATACTTTTGTTTTTTAATGGGTATATGTAGTCAATACAAAGAAGCAGCAAATAAATAACAAAACATTATCAAATTGATATGTACAGTATCCAGTACAACACGATTAAGAAATCCTTCTTGCCAGGCGGTGGTGGTACACGCCTTTAATCCCAGCACTCGAGAGGCAGAGCCAGGTGGATCTCTGTGAGTTCGAGGACAGCCTGGGCTACAGAGTGAGTTCCAGGAAAGGTGCAAAGCTACACAGAAAAACCTTGTCTTGAAAAAAAAATGTGAATTTTAAAGAAATCCCTCTGAAAGCTATGATTCTCCAGCTTACTACAGAGAGATCTTTGCACAGGGGGGGGGTCTCTCTGTCCTCTCCGTGGATGAGCATCCCATTAGCTATTTTAACTACAGACATGTGACCAATAACAGTATACATAAAAGGTGAACATATATTTACATCCTAACATCCTAATCTCTAACAGGCCTGGTTTACATACTACTTATCTTTGAGGTATTTTAGAGGCAGCCCTCCTTTAGCTAAATTCTCCTTTGTGTGATTTACTGTCTCCTAAGCATTGGTAAATCCTTAATATCACCAATTCTACCTTTCTACATCACAGCTTAGTAGTGGAGCTACCCAAAACATGAGATGCCTTTTAAAACCTCCAAAAAATTAACTATGAATGGATCTTACATGTAAAGGTTAAGTGCAAAGTGCTGAACTTCTAGAAGATACTTGAGAAACTAGGCCTCTCTGAGTTTGGCAACCTGCTTGGGCCATGAGAAGTTTCTTTAAGGTCCCGATGTATAGAGCAAAAACAGCTCCTTCTCTAAAACCGGGAATATGCTTGGGAGAGCTGGTCATGTTCTGGGGGCAGAGCCTTTGGGAAGGGGTTGCTTCAGACCTTGAGAATGCAACTCTTTCCACACATCAGGCTATGGTTATCAGTCCCAGGGCCACTGCAAACTTTGTTCATAATGTTCTTGAGTTACCCCGTGTTCTTCTTGGGCAATATTGTCTGATTAGCCTCCTCCTGAATTTGTACACTTCCTTTTAAAATTGACCCCACTGGTTTATAGTAACAAGAGACTTGCTGTTGAATTTGGCACAAATCTGTGTCCAATCTGGGATAGGTCTCTGCTTCAGGTGGAAGCCAGGGCTGGAAAACACTGTGCTGTGTCTCTTCAGCTCACCTAGTCCTGTCACTCAGTCCACACTAACTAATCAGGCCCTCCAGTGGACCCTCCAGTCAGATGGGAGGGTTCTTCCGGGTGCCAGGCTTTTGGCTCAGCTGCTCTGCTGAGGAAGTCGGAAGTTGGATTGTGTACTGCGCCGTGGGCTCCACTGCAGGGAGCTTTGGGGAGAGCATGGGCGAGCTCTGCGGCCGAACCGTGGTGAGCGAAGGGCTGCTGTCCCCAGGCGGGGAGGAGTGGCCGGCCATGGTGAGCAAGGGGTCGCTGTCCGCAGACTAAAAGGAGTGGCGGGCTGATCTGCGGGAGCCGGTGTGATGGGTCCTATCCCGCTCCGTGGGAGCCAGCGGCCAGATGCAGAGCTCAGCGTATTTCTGCCTGGACCTGCGTGGTCTTGCATGGTCCTGCTTGTCCAGTGTGGTCCCTGCAACTCCCTGGGCTGGGGCAGCAGCCTCGGAATAACTTCACTCCACTGGCTGTGTCTGTGCAGAGCACTGGGAGCTGGACTGTGCTTTGAAGTGTCCTTGTTGACGTCACTGTGAAATGCTGATTCCTGTAGTGCTTGTATTGTCCCGATGGAAGGCAGATTTGCCAAACTCAGAAAGCCCTGGTCTCTCTAGTATCTTCCAGAAGTTCTGCACTTTTAACATTGAACATTTAGGTGTAGGATCCGTCTAGAGTTAATTTTGTGGAGCTTGTAAACAGTATTTCCTATGTAAGTAGCACTCCACTGCTAAACTGTGATGTAGTGGTATAAGAATTTACTAATTCTTAGGAGACATTAAGTCACACAACATAGAATTTAGCTAAGGAAGGGCTGCCTTCCAAATAACCCAAAGACAAGTGGTATGTTAACCATGCCTGTTAGAGATTAGTATGATAAAATGTAAATGTTTGTTCACCAGGACTAACCAGCCATTAAGCTACATTCCCATAACAAAGGAGACAACCCTGATTTATAACCAGCCTAAATGCCCACCTCCCCATCACAGAACAGGCTTCTAACTTGCTGCTCAAGGAACCATTACAGGGTCACAACCAGCCTTAAGTCCTGGTGTGCCATGAAGGTATATTAATTCTAGAACAGCTGCATCTCCAGCCTTTTTGAAAAGTGGTTTTCAGTCAAGGTCTCCTATGTTGACTGAAGTGGACTTGAACCATGTCTGTAGCTCCAGATGGGCATTGCTCTTGCTATCCTCCTGACTAACCACCCTAAATCCTTGGATTACAGGTCTGTAGCACCACAGAGAAATTACCAGTTTGAGTCACATAGTAGACTGTCCATTGCAGTAACAAGAAAAGGATTTGTGTGTGGAGCTTGGCTTCTCCCTTCAGACCAGAAGAGGAGGAACAGTGTACTGTGCACACTGCAGGGGAAACAGACTAGACAACAGCTAGATCACAGACTGAAGTTTAAGGCAGTGAGCTGCAGGGGTCTCCACCATCAAGAAGGGGCATGGTGAGTGACTTTCTGTGCAGTTTCCTGCAATGAATTGATTCCTTCCATGTGAATGAACACAGACAGCAATGGTGGGTATACAATTTAGGGAGGGTAGCTACTGAGTATTCAGTTTCCAGTTAGGGAACTCTCCTATGCAGATATGTGCAATCCTGATTGCAGTTGAGTCAGCTCAGAAGTTTGAGACACAGGCCATTGGCTGTAACTCTAGGTCAGCTTACAGCACCCAGCAGCTAACATTTTACATGGACAAAGTCATACAATGTCTTATTAATTGCATTCTCTCTACCAGGGAAGTGCCTACTCTGTTTCAAAGCCAGTATAACCTAGTATTCTTTCAATTATTATTATTATTATTATTATTATTATTATTATTATTATTATTATTATATCACCTGACTGTACTTAATTTGTTTATTATGTATACAAATGTTCTGTCTGCATGTGTCCCTGCAGGCCAGAAGAGGGCACCAGATCTCATTACAGATAGTTGTAAGCTACCATGTGGTTGCTGGGAATTGAATTCAGGACCTCTGGAAGAGCAGCCAGTGCTCTTAACCTCTGAGCCATCTCTCCAGCCCCTCTTCCAATTATTTTTATCATTTTTTAAAAGTCAATTATTGGTATCATTTTAAAATTTCATTTTCTTTAAATGAATTACTGCTTTAATCTTTGTTTCTGTTCTCCAGTGTTTCTAGGTCATTGATAGTTTCATTCCCTTTTCTCAAGTGCTGTTGATTATTTATTTCTATTTAGAGCAATGTCTCCTATAGTCCAGGCTTGCTTCATGCTATGTAATTGAGAATTGCTTTGAACACCCAATCCTGCCTCTGCTACCCAGTGCTGGGAAGTCAGTCAGTCAGTCAGTCAGTCAGTCAGTCAGTCAGTCAATCAGTCATTCCTGCATCTCCTTCTGGGCTGGGCCTTGACTAGTCAGTGAGAAGGAATAGAGACCAGTGAATGAGTGTCCTCCAATATCTGGCTTTTATTAGGAACTTAAAATGCTGCAGGACCTGTCTGAGAACTGAGTTCATTGACCAGCTGTAAAGCAGGTGTAGTCACAGCACAGAGAAGGATGGGCAGGGAGGAGGGTGAAACCTTGCCTGCTTTGTCAGTAGTTGACATTAGCAGTGAGTGGTGAGGTAATCAGTTTTAGATGATTGACACATGTCCTGACTGGCCATTTCTTGGGTCCACAGACCAGGCAATCAAGAATCTGAATACAGAACTGGAGTTCTTGTGAAACAAAATTACAGTAGTTACACTAGTTCAAGCAAATAGAAGATCTGGGTAAAATAGTGTGGCCCTGCCTAACATGACTGTATTTTCGAGTTTGAGATGTTAAGTCTGAGAGAAAAGGTATGAGTAGTACTTGGTATGCTCCAAATCTTGAGTCTCTGGAGCACATGGCCATAAAGCCTGTTTCAACTTCTTAACATAACTTTATGAATATAATTACATCATTTCCACCATATCTTTCCTGCCTCCAAGCCCTCCCATAGACTCTTTATTATTTTCTAATTTATGGCCTCTTTTTGCTTAAGCAACAGCAACTATTTGAATTTGAGCTGTGTTTGGCTGCAGGACTTCCCAACTATGAAGCAATGGGTTGGCTGCACTGGACATTGAGTGTGTAATGGAATGTGCACACAAAGGACCCTGTGCCTTGGAAGAGGAACAGGAAGTGCCCTAGGAGATTGGAAGATTCTACTAAAATACTAATTTCTCAGACTAGAGCCCTGTATCATAGGGTGGAAGGGCAGAGCTGGGAAGGCCTATGCTGTTTGAGTATTTTGATTTCTGCTCACCCAGCAGGGTAACTGCTACTGTCCTGAGGCCCAGCTGGGTGGCCCTAGCTAATGAGGGACCCTTGGAAGGCTTAACAATCAAGAGTCCCTGTGGGAGGTAACTTGCAGATTCTTTCTAAGGTTCTATTCTAATGCAACTGTAAGGAGCTGTGAGGGAGACCACAAGCCATGCCATAGTGAGTGTGGGGTCACTGTCTTCACTGTCACAGAGCAGGAGGAACAGTTCTGCTGAGCTGTCAGAGCTGCTGGGACTGAATTGGACCATAATCCAGACTGGTTCTGTTAGTCCTTGTGGTGACCTGGGTAGTGGCCCTTGGACCCTGACCCTCCTTGAGTGTGGATTCCCTGGGGTTAGGGAGGCTCTTCAGACCTGGCTTTGGGAGCTGTGGTGCTTATAATATCAGGCCTTGCTTCTGGTGTGTGGTGGGAAGACAGATTGGAAAACTGAAGGTCTGGTTTCTAGAAGTTCTAAATGTTGCATTCCCCGTTCAGTTTTGTGTGATAAATTTTACAAATAGCTTAGAAACTGGTAGAAATGAGGTGATGGGGATCATTCTTCAGCAATACTTGATCAGAGAAATTCAATTCCAGAGGACAAAAGGAGTTTCTGAGCTGCAAAAGTTTTTCAGGCGTGCATGGGGTTGCATTGATGGAGAGGGCAGATTCCACATTTTGTGCCTGAATGTGTGTGGCAGGAAGCAGACTTTAAATTATTCTTGTTTATTGTTTTGTGTGTGGGGGCATCAGTGGGGTTGGGCTTGCCTCCTTGAGTGTGGATTCCCTGGGGTTAGGGAGGCTCTTCAGACCTGGCTTTGGGAGCTGTGGGCACAGTGGGCAACAGAGCCATAGTCCACCTTTCTGATGACTTCCATTTCCAGAGAGAGGTCTAGAGCATGGGGCTGTTTGGAAGAGAGATCAGTAGCTGGAAAGTCAGAAATATAACAGTTTAGGGATCCCTTTGAGTCATCTGTGTGAATTTTGAAGTCTGTGTTATTTAATTTCTATACATCTACAATCATAAATAACATTGGCCAAGTTCACAATTTCCCTGGCTGAGTTTCCTTAGGTCTTTTGATGAAAGCTTGACTATATTTTTTTGCTTTTGTTCTTGGCTTTTTCTTTCCATCCTTTTATTTTTTTTTTTATTTTTTTTTTTGGTTTTTCAAGATAGAATTTCCTGTGTAGTTTTGGTGCCTGTCCTGCTGGATCTCTCTCTGTAGACCAGGCTGGCCTTGAACTCACATAGATCCACCTGCCTCCCGAGTGCTGGATTAAAGGCGTGTGCCACCACCACCCCGCTCCATCCCCTCATTCTTTCACAAATATTGTACATATTCCCAATTGTTGTAACATTGTGGTAAGTACAGAAGTCACATTGTATCAATGTGTGTACTATTTCTTCATAATCCTATTGAGAATTCTTAGTTTTTCCACATGGAATGTAGCTTTAGAATCAGGTTTCCTGTTAATTTTTTTTTTTGCAATTTTCCTTGGATTGTATTGAATTTATGCTACAAATTGAACATATACAAAATCTTTTTTTGTAGTATGTCATGTTAATGATGTTGTTTACAGAAATATAAAAGGGTAAAAGATATTATTCTACATAATCATTCGTTTAGCAAACTACAGTAAGTGTGTGAATCTGAAACTGATGTGAAATAATGTACAACACCATAGAAAGAAGACTGCAGTATAGAGTTCATTGACACAGAATATATTATTATGTTCACGTAAAAGATATCCCACTAAGTATGATTTAATTGAGAAACCAAAAAGAGTGAAAATAAAACATGCTCCAGAATTGAACAATGAATCTGAATGTGACATGGGATTATGTAATAAACTTTTGTGATTGTTGGTTGGGATTTTCCACAATATTAACTAAAAGCAGTTAAAGTCATGTTGCGCTGTTATAGTTGATATAAAATTGTACACATTTAGTGCATGTATTATGATGCATTTGGCCATATTACCTACACCCT